TTATTCTAAAATATGGCCTTCTAGGAAGGCCATAGCTTGATGAATACATTTTTAATGCAGCACTAAGGAAAAAATTAACAAGAGTAATAAAAAGACATCTCTCTTCAACTTTCCAGTTCAAAAGCTTCCATTTAATAAAGTATCACTGCCTAAATGGTATAGCTGTTAAACAGAGATTAGTACCTTTTAAAGAAAAGTTAACGTCTGCAAGACTGTAATGAACTATTAATGTGACCTACAATTCCAAGTGTACATGGAATGTTCTCACAGCTGGATAAAAAAAAAGGTGGTCACACAATGTTAATAGAAGAGAAAAATGGCTGGGTACTTGAAAAGAAATACCAAAAGACTAATTTATCATTCTCTAGTAATCTAAAAATTGTAATAGCTGCTCCTAATGACATCAGTGCTTTCTATCTTGCCTCTTCACATACCACAGAAGAATTCCATCAAGAATTACACCATAAGTAATTACAGAAGACAAACTCAGGGAAAAAAGTCAAAGAAACCAATTCACTCCTTGAACCTATTCCACATCTGTCAGCTCTGTTAATATTCTTACCAACATGCTCAGGCCATTTTTCTTTCAAGAGTGACAGCTTTTAACTTTTCATTCCTTTGTTCACTGTTACACTAAATTATTTAACATCTTTACCCTCTTTCCCAAAACCCAAACTAAAAACAACGTTAGAAGAGAAAAAGACGTTACCATCTGAAACACATCTGAGCCTTCATCAAAATCTATCATAGCAAAAAAAATCTTGTTGGTAAATGCACTGGAATACCTCCAGGAGTTTGCCAGAATCTGGTATTCCTCATCAGCTTGCCTGGAAAACACACCAAGTGAGATGCTGTATCATGGGTTTGTCCAAACCAGCTGTGCCCACCCACCCCCTTAACTTTCTAGGGTTGAAAAGAAAGTTTAAGTGTTAATGAAATCATTTAGGCACAGACACTCATCTACCATCAGGGGAAGTATTTGGCACCTGCTTTTTTAAGTGGAAGGGTAAGATTTGCTGAGTCCATGAATACAAGCTGAGGTAATTTCTTAATAAAGGTGAACTGGAACTCAGCTGCTCATGATTTGCCAGCCCACAGAAATGTGCCCAGGTGTGCCCTTTCTTCCAGGTCAGAGGGTGGGAAACTAGTAATTTCAATGGACTAGGTACAAAAATCACCCTTACAGACCTCTGCCACCTCCAGATTAATACAGGAAAGTTATAATATGGTAAGGATCCAGGATATGGAATTGTAAATAACTGCCAAGCAATATTAATTACAACATTTAAGCTTTATGGCCAGCAATAATTCTACAAACATTTCTCCAGCAGCTTACAACAGGAAAGTTGAGTATTCACTTTGTCTTTCTCCAGAGTAAACACTGTTTCTGCAAAGCAGGGATTATTTTAGGAGGGAAATAAAACTGAGGATTACGTTTCCTCACAAACACATTACACACATACTCCCACACATTAAATTGCAAAGACAATCCTACTGTAACTTGCCCACATATATTCCCCCCACCTGTGTCAAAGTGCAGCCCTGTTCTTAAACTTAGTGTCCTACAAAGCATCAGATGACTTTCAAGTTCTAATTTAGGACTAAAGGAGCTCATACTTGCACACAACACACTGTCTGTGAGGCTGAAGAGCAGTGAACATCACAATCACTGAGTAGTTCCTGGGAGGTGCCTTCACGAGGCGCCGGAATTTGTCTCCATTCATTCGGATCACAGATCTCTTACTGGCCCACTCCATTAGCTGGTTCACTTTTTCTGATAACACCATCTGAAAATCAGGTCAGAGCAACATTTTTGGGGTTTGTTTTTGTTTTTTTTTTTTGTCTCACAGTACAGTCTTAGAAGTTTTTAGATTTGATGCAACAAACGTGTACACTGCTTGTCATAACACCACCCAGGTGATGTGATACTTCAGTAAGATTCTGCAAGGCATTCACAGAAGCTTTTGACAGTCACGTTAACATAATTCATTAGCTTCAAGCACCCAGTAACACACAGAGCTTTAAGCACTCAGCGTGATCAGGCTGGTGTCGACCCTCAGCTCAGCAGCCCCTCCCCACAGTAGTTGCAGGATTTCTTTCTGCTGTACCAACCACCTCCATCCCCTCCACTGCCTTTTTTCTATACTAAGCATTAAACTGTTTCAGCTTTCAAAAATTGTGGCAGTGGAATCAACATCAGAGATGGAACCAAACTTAAAATTTCATTTTCAGCACTAGTGGATAAAAAGAACCATAATTCAGAATGTATTTGAAAAACTCAGGGGTGCTTAACACTAAAATATTCCTTAAAAAGTTGATAATCAATTATAAAACATTGTAAGAAGAGATATTAGTTTGACAAACTCACAAATGTTACATTTATCATAAAGCACCTCTCTACTCATTAACACCCTTCTTCAGATAAATGTTAGAGGAAATCACTATATCATGAATTGGAAGGGAGCCAGTAGGAGCATCAAAGTCCAACTCATGAACGTGCACAGGGCAGCCCCAAGAATCTCACCATGACGATAATAATAATAAATTATTATTCTCTGACTCAAGTATACACACTTACACAGAAGGACTTTTCTAAACCCTGCAGGTCTAGTGCGTGGAAGTAAGTTGCACCTTAGTGACCACAACCAAAGACCATTCATCCTCCCGCCCGCAAATGCCATACACTAAGAAGACAACACTCTTCCAGTGCTCCTAACAAGAACTAAGGAACCTGAAAACGAGGACCTTTCCTCCCTGGGGGCTCCCCTCAGAACCGGCCGAACCTCAGGGCGGGGACTCGGGGTGAGGCCAGGCCACCCCGCCGGGCCCTGGCCGGTGCTGCCCTCATCCCGCTGAGGGAGAACCCGCCCCGGCGCGGTGCGGGGGCTCCGGGCGAGCCTCACCTCCTTGCGCCTCTGCCCCGCGGCGCCGGGCCCGCCACATCCCGCCAGCAGCAGCAGCAGCAGCGCCAGCAGCGGCACCGGCAGCGCCGCCATGGCCGCCCCGCTCCGCCCGCCCCGCCCCGCCGGCGTGAGGCCCCGCCCACGAGACGCTGATTGGCGGAGGCGCCGGCTCGAGGGTCCCTGCCGGCCTTCGATTGGACGAACGTGCGGGAGCGCGGCGAGCTGGAGCCGCGCCATTGGTGGAGCCCCGAGGGGAGGGCGGGGCGAGCCCCGAGGCGGGGGCCGAGCGGGCCCTGAGGGAGGAAAGAGTGGCGGGAGCCCGGGAGGTGATGGCAGCTCCCGTGTCTCTCAGCCGCATCACGGACCCTGTACGGCTCGAAGGGGTTATAAATTAACCAGTCCATTTAGTAGTTAAAGGAATTTATTAAAGCAAATCAAAGTGGAATTGGAAAAGCTACAAGCTGATCAGCGCCGAGCCAGGCGATCGGTGCTGGGTGAACTGGGTCCGGACTAGGCAGCTCCGTACCCCTGGCAGTTCACAGGGTACTGATTTCACAGGGGTTTTTATACTGTTTCCAGACTTGGCGGGGTCCTCCTGTTTCCTTTTGTTCTTTTTCACATATGAGTGCATGTTCTTTTCTTGTGGTGCTTCTAAGCAGAGGTTTTCCTGGAATACTCTGCTGAAATCCTTTTTTAACAGTAATCCCCTCGGATATCTTGTTCTGGTGACGAATATTCATTTTATCGTTCAATGCATATCTTCTAGACAGAATAATCCTTCAGAATAACCATCTTTCAAAATAGGAATTAATCCGTGTATATTGCTCTTTCCCATCACTTGGTTCTATTTAAAAGGATACTGTATTTTTTAGTCCTGAGCACGAATTTATTCTAAATCATATATTACAAAGGCGTCTCTGCAGATCACCCGAGGCAGGTGACACAGTGTTGCCTGCTAAGAACCCGAATTCACGACCTGATGTGCAACAAGGCAATAATTATACACTCAGAGAAAGATTGATTTATATCATTGTTGTGCTAGCCTTGAGTGCTCAGTGGTGTTCCACAATCAAGCATGCCAACTCTCAAAACATTTTACTGTTTATAGGTTTTAACAAGCAAAAGAATTTGTATTCACTAGGTACAAGTAATGTTGTTCTCTTATTAATTAGTATTCTATTTTCTATTGGTCAACGCTTGTCTTTGTTTGCCACACTAATTAGTGCACAGGTTGTGACTTTCTCTTCTTTTTGGTCGGTGGGTTGGTGGTTGTGATCTGCCCCTGCTGGAATTCCTTTCACCAGTTGGAGCTGATTTCAGCTGAGTTGGCTTTGTTAGTGTCTTATCGTGGGAGTTCTGCAAAACACCCATGTGGGCTATAAATTCTGCATTCTTTGTGTCCAAGATCAGTGGCACATCCTCCTTCCCAAGCTTAATTAACCTCCCTCTAAGCCTGAGATAATTGAAACATGACAAGGCCTGAACCTTAACAAGGTAGTGCTACCAAAAAGTAAATTTTTTTCCAACATCTGGACATCACTTAGAGCTTGATACCTGCTGTTTCATAGATTAAAATCTCCTTCCTTGTTGATTAGGCTAGAAAGTACACAAAGATTAAACATCAAAGAACATCCTTTCTTAAGAAAATTTTATGTAATCCACATTTTGAAACAGCACAAATGCTTGCAGATGGGTTTTGAGTGTCTCCAAGGAGGGGGATTCCACACCTTGCCTAGGCAGCGGTTCCAGTGCTCTGCCACCCTCAGGTCCTCTTGCCTCAGATACATGCTTCATGTTATACACGCACGTTAAAAATTGCTGGGCAATGTGTTACAAAAAATGTTAAAATCCAAATGCACAGGAGAACGCCTCAGCAGGTGTGTAGTGGGCTAAGGCTCTGATACAGAATCTCCAGGGAGGATGAGGATTTACGCACACTTGAGGTTTTATTTTAAAATTATTTCTATTTGCACTGAAATCCCAGATTTGTTTCAACTCGGCGCGTTCGCCTATTTAAATTAACCGAGACAGGGAGAAAACAAAAAGTGGTGTCAGAAGTGGGATTCGAACCCACGCCTCCATACGGAGACCAGAACACCCAACCCCGCTGCGGGAAAGCGCGGAACGCCTTGAGTCTGGCGCCTTAGACCACTCGGCCATCCTGACACTGCGACTGCTGCTGCGTTCGGGACAGAGTTAGCGCTGTCGCCACTGCTGAGCCCGCTTCTCTGTGCCCCTGGCCCATCACGGCGAGCCCGTCTGTGCCCGGGAGGTGCCGGAGAGCAGCCAGGGACCGGCTGGCTTGTCCCGGCCCGGCCGCGGAGCTCCGCCGCAGCGAGGAGGAGCCCGGCATTACCCACAGGCCCCTGCCCCGCCGCCACTTCCGCCGCGACCATTTTGTTCTTCAGCGGCGTCAAGGGTACGCGCTCGGCTCTCATCATGTTCCCGGTGGCCAGGGCCGCGCAGAGTCTCGCCGGTAAGCACGGGGGCGGCTCTCGGCGTGTGGGGGGTTCCTGAGGGCGTCTTGCCCGGTTGGTGCCTTCCCCTGTGTGGACTGTCCCTCAGCCCCGACTCGCTGTGCGCCCGGGGACGGTCGTGAGGGCACCTCTGGCGTCCTTCGCCTCCCGCTTTTTTTATTCCTTTCAGCCTTTTTGTATCGCCTAGTTGCTTTTTGGCATAGGACTCCTTTCCTTGGTGCTTTGTTTGCTTCGTACGTCAAGGCACATTTTGGCCTGCGGTCAGTCCCCAGCCCCTAAGTCAAGGTTAGAGTTGCCCCTGCAGTGGTGCAGACCCACAAAACCTATCTCCCTAGATACTGCTCTTTTGTTTTTAAAAATCCGCCTTGTGCAGCCTTGCAGAGCATGCGAGGAATGTAGTACCATTGGTATCACCATCGTCTTCTCTAATCACGGCTGGGTAAAAATGCAAACCATTGACCTGAGTCTGAAAGGTTTTATTTTGTAACATCTTTATGCGCGCATCACCCTCTCATCAAATGCTTTGTACACAACTAACGGGCTATCTGTCTTTTGTAGCTGTTGCTTTGATTTTTCACTGTTGCCTTCTCTTTAATAAGTGTACATTTTATAGTGTACAATTAAAATGTACATCATCTGAAGATATCACTCCGTATTTTTTTTTCTCCATTATTTGTCTCATGCCCATGGGTTGCTTCACTTTCCTTCCTCCTCTCCCTTCAAAATCCTGAGGGAATGAGGCAGGTATTACCCACATCTGCTATCTGCAGCCCCATAATTTGATGGTGAGCTTCATCCTGACATTGCTTGAGTACATGTACTGCCAGGATAGATACTTACATATAGAAATCTAAAAATGCTAAGCACTAAACAAAATATTTCATTAGAGAAATACTAAAGGAAAGATATTAATGAAAATGTTAACTTAGGGGATTTTTTTTTTACTGGAATTAGACTTAAGGAATAACTTTCTAGGGAAAAATTGAGAGAGCTGAAAAAAATTAAAGTATTTGTTTATATCCCATATTTTGGAGTAATTCCAGAATTCTAAATCCAGATTAATCCTTTTCCAGCATTTTTAGTCTTTTAACACTAATGCTTGCCTCTCTGTTGGTGGGAGATGAGGCTTGGGAATGGTTTGAGCATGTATTTGAGTTGATTTCTGTACTTGTTGACGCTCCTCAGCTCGCGGCATCCAGCACACTGCAGTCAGACACGCTCATCGCAAGCACCAGCCAACCTTCCACGACAAATACGGAGCCATGGTCCTCCTTGGTGGAGCCACCATGTTCACTGCTGTCTGGGGCTATGTAAGTTGGTTTTGTCACCACTCTCCTGTGACTTGAGCTGAAGACTTTAAAAATGTCAATTTTGCCTGTTTGAAATAAATTCTGTGGTCAGAATTTAGGAGCTTCTTACGTAAGTAGATAGTGATGTGATAGAGGTGGAAGTTCTTTTAATTGCCAGCTTGATTTTGAGTTATTACTCAAATTTCTGCATCAGTCTATTACTTGATTTGAAAATGTATCAGAAACACAAGTGTTCTCTATTTTACTTGGGATTTCAAACCTCTGCAGGTACAGCTTCAGCAGCAGAACTTCTAGATGAATATTCCAATATGGTGGTGGGGGTTTTACATTCCAGATTCTTTCTTCTATAGTTGGATATTTTGAAACAGAAAACTGAAACATTTAAATTCTATTCAGTATAAATATATTCCACTTCTTAAATTAGAAAATTAATGAGATGTTGTGTTCTAATAACAATAATTCTGAACTGAAAACAATAAAAATAACCCTATGTTCAAAGGTTTCTTTGATTTCAGAGTTAATAATCTTGGGTTTTGTCCCTTCACAGGTGTTCACACAGCTTAAAATTGAGTGGGGCTTTTCACCTGTTGGCAGAATTACTCCAAGTGAATGGAGGGAGTAACAGCCTCTGCTTCTAATGAACTGGTCTAAACTTTCACTGAGAAAATGGTCATGTAATGGCATTTATTCCCTGATTACCACTTGGACAGTGGCATTCCTGGTCTAATAAACATACCTAGAAACTTGTCTGGCTCTTCCAGGTTTCCTCTGTGCTCAGCTTCTGCTAAAGTATAAGAAACAGTGTAAAAACTCCCAAGTAATTTTACACAGTCCCTGTTGTTGCTGTAAAGATCAATGGTGGATGAAGGACAAGTCCGGGACTTCGTTGGGTTTTCGTTTAGCCAGATGGGTGCATGTGAATCAACCTCACTGCATTCCCACTGCAGAGTGCACATCCCTTTACACCTGACTTTAATGACAAAGTCGAGATCCTATATTTTTTTCCACAAAAGGATTTTTATGGCTTGAATCCTGCCAGTAGGCTGCTTCTCCCATGACCCAAGAGTTGTGAAGAAATTAAATTCGGTTTTGAGCTGGAGAGGCTCCACAGGAGCAGGCAGCATCCCTGGATCAACGGGACTTTCCTGATGAATTCTTAGGGAATCCCAGAATGATTTGGGGTGGCTCCGACCCTGTCTCTGAGTTTAACCCGAGAAGTGAGGTGGGAAAAGAACAGCTGCCGGGTCATTTGACGATCAGAGGATCCCAGGCTGTTTGCCTTGGGAAGGGCCCTGAAGCGCCCCGAGCTGCGGCCGCGGCGGGCGGGCTCTGTCGCGATAGTCGCGAGCGGCCCCGCCCTCTCCCGCGCCGTCACGTGTCCGCGCGCGTCACGTGGCGGGCGGTCACGTGGCCGGCAGGGACGCGCGCGGCGGTGGCGGGCCGGGAGCGGCGCTGGGTCCCGCGGTCTCGGTGAGTGCGGGCCCCGCTCGGGGCTCCTTCCCCCCGCCTGCGCCGACCGCCCCGGCACTGCCGCTCCCCCGGTCTGCGGGGCGGACCCTCGTGGGGTTCCCGCTTCCCTCCGTGGGTGCGGACCCGCCTTGGCGCTCCCGCTTTCTTCCGTGCTCCGGGACTGCCCCCGGGCCGCTGCCGCCGTGTCCCGGCGGGGAGGGGGTGCGCGGGCGGCGGTGCCGGGCTGCCCCAGACGGGAGGGGAGGCTCGGGGCCCCCAAACCGGGCTCTGTCCGGCCCCTCGGAGAGTCCGGTGCGTGAGGGTGCCCGCAACCCGGGGGGTGAAGCCCCGGGGCACCCCCAAAGCGCCTCGGCGGCATCTCCGTGTCCCGGAGCAGCCCCGGAGCCGGCACGGCAATTCCCGGGGCTTTGGCGGGGCCGGAGCCCGGCTCCGCTGCCGGGGCATCCACGTTTCGGGTCTTGGCACTCGCTTGGAAAAGTCCCTCTTGTGCTGCCATCAGTGACCAGAGAAAGTCTCGGAGCTCATGAGTCACTGACCTGCTGTTCCAATTCTGAGCTGCTCGGCTTGTCCCTCTGAAACTCCTTACTTAGTGTTTATTCTTATGTCACCTTATGCCACCTTATGATGTCAGCACTCTGTGCACAAACACCTTTTTCTAATTAAAAGTTTAGTGTGGGTATTCTAGAAAAGGGTAAGTAGTTGTTGATGAGGCTTTGGAGTGAATTCTCTCAAAAATGGGCAAGAACAACACAACAGTTTCCTCCCTCTGTCCATGTTCTGGAAATTGTATGTAAGTAGTGTAAAATTAAAATCTTAAAATCCTTCGTGCAGCCATCAAAGGTCGAGTTTCTGTACTTAAATGCTTGTTGTATTGTGTGGATATAAATAGGCAAAGATTTGGTAGTGTGGGACTTTATGTGTGTGATAATGCCCTGTGTGAGCACAAATCCAGTTTGATTAGAAATTAATAATTATAATGTATTTTCTTAGTAGAGAAAAGACCTGGAGCTTTTTTCCTTCCCAGCTGGCAAAGCAGGGAAGCAAAAGCTGACATTAAATGTAATTTGCTGTCTTACTCTTCTTATTTTTACTATATGATGCATTCCATCTTGTTGCTGAGTACTTTGAGACTAAACTTAAGATTGAGGAGCTCCCATTGACCTTGGTAGGTTTGCATAACAAGGCGTTATAAATTATATTCCACTCAAAATATTTCCTATGATTCTTCCAAGGAAACATTTGTGTTCTCCAAAAATCTGACTTCAGGCAGTTGTGGAAGGCCAAGAACGAGTTAAAGGATTTACTAAGTATTTGTCTCAAGTACTGTAAAACTGATTAGAAGTGAAGCAGAGTGCTTGCAGTGTGTGCTTTTTTCTTCCCTATGCAGTTGATACAGAAATAAATTCCTTGAGAGCAATTTCCATGCTCCGCTGACCAAGCAAGGCTTGTTAAAGTCTTGAGCAACATGAATTACAACCTATTTGAAGTGTCACGTAGCTGGGACATTTATTGCAGATGTACAGTTTCTCTCTCAATGATTAAGCCTCATCTCCCCATGGGCCTATCATACATATCTCCTACCTCGTCACACTTTCCAGTGGCTCTGTTTGCCCATGAACCCTATAAAACCTCCTGCTTCCCTGTTGGACTCATCTCCTGTAGTGCTTTTCAAGCCCAAGGGTGAGATGATGCAGCTTTTTCCCTTTCCTGCCCTTTGCTCTTTTTCATAGGTCCTTGCAGACACTGAGGTACAGGCACCTTTTTTCCATTTAATGTAAAAAGTAATTCAGCTTTCTTCTGCCTTAAATAAAGAAACTAAGCAACACTTGGCCATTTAGAGATTTAATAAAATTCAGAGGCTGTAATTAAACCTGCAAGATTCTTTTGCTGGCATTTGTGTGGTATTTGTCAAGCTGTGACCTCTTTTAACTTCAGCAGCTATAAATTCAAGGTAATTATAAACTGGTGAAAACTGGAGCTGTACAGGTAACCAGGAACATCTGTCTTCCCTAGTTGTAGCCCTACTGATCCTAAAACTGGCACAAAGTGGTGTGTGGGGTACAGAGCTTTGCTGCCCTGTGATGCCTGGGTGTGCTCAGATGGTAGAAGCACCAAATTGCCTTTTTAGGGTTAAATGGGATTCTTGAGTTGTAACTTCCTCTTTGCATTGCTCATTTTATAATTTTTTTTGATAGTGTGGACTCAATGAATTACTTAACTTTCACTTCATTGAGCCTTATTTCTTCAGATATTTTACTTACAGTGACTGGTGTTAGCATATCAAAAAACTATTTAGAGAGATGAATGAGTGTCTTAGTCACCTTGTGCTTGATCACTATTGAATTTTCCTTTCCATAGGGAGAAATATCTGATGGAACTAGAAATCATCTCTTTCTATTGCTTCATTTACTTCCTAGAAGCACTAACTGACTTTCTTCAAGAAAATGGAACTAAATACAGAGCTGGTAACTCCTAAAGGGAACTGCCATTTCTTTATGTTGTCAAATCCTGAAATTCTTTCATAATTGATGGTGAAGGTGTTTTATAGATGGAGCAATGTACTGGCTAAGAGTAAAAGTATTATTTTTTTCTCTAAAACCTGTGTAATCCTTAATTTAGCATCTCAGGTCTTTTCAGGACCTCAGCTGCAAGTCTTTTCTCTATAAGAAAATGTATTGTAATTAAAAGGATGTGTCTGTGCTAACTTGCACAAACCATTGATGTGGAATATGTGGATTGCTGCAGATATTTTGACTTCTAAGTCTGTTTTGTTGGGAAAATGTTAACCCAAGTGAGGAGAATTAGGATTACATTGTTAGTATTTTTCTACCTTTTGTGTGCATCTAGTCCTAATTCATTGGTGCAACAGGTATTTTCAGTCTGCTTAGTTATGGACTTCAGAAGGAAATATGACAAATATTTAATTCAAGTTCCAGCCAAATTCTTTGTACCTTTAACTACTTGTAAGGGAGGTAGAGCATCAGAAATGAAATGAATATGACAAGGTAGAATACAGCCTGAGATTACATTTAAATTTAACTGGTTGTCCTGGGAATTTTGCAAGAGGAGGAAAAAAGGATTTATCTATTTCAGAGTCATTGTGTACAACCCTGTGTTTCATTCTGAGAACAAGATCTCTTTGAAGCTTCAGGAGCACAGGAAATCCAGACAGTTTGGCTTTTGAAAATTTCAGCACGGTTGTGCAGAAAACAGTGATTAAGAAACAGCTCATTAACAGTTCAGTGTTAATAATATGTGACTGATTGACGAGACCAGTTCTGCTCATTAGATTTCAACATGTCTCACCTTTTAGAGAACAACCTGGGTTTTTTTTTTTCTAAATTAGTATAGAAGCTGTTAGCAACCTGTAACAAAGCAAATAAAAATCCACATTGTTTGTCTTGCCCACCAGCAGGGAGCTGTGAGTGATGCTCATGTCAAAGAGATCTGGGTCATTCTTAATGGAAGGCCAGAGAGCAAAACAAAGAGCCAGTTTGGTCCAACAGATAAATTGTAGTGATGGAAGTTCTGGTTTCAGTCCTAGTACCTCAGGGTCTTGAAGGGTAAAAAAGGAAGAATAAATTTAATTTTTTTTTTCTTACACCTTTATAGTTTTTGTTTCAATTTCGGCTTCTTCCAGGAAAGGGTTTTCTCTGCTGTGTTTATGAATGAGCTACAGAGGGCAAGAAAACAGTCTGAGAAAATGGAGGAAACACTTTGTCCATACAAACTGTAATAATAATAGATGTGAAAAGAAGTTTAATGTTATTTTTACATATTTAAACAGTTGGGTTTTGAATGCATTGGGCATTTTGTAGCAGTGCTGCTGGTTACTGTAATCACTGCTAATTGTTTGACAGAGAACCTTCAACATTGTATCCTGGTTTTGTAAAAATGGATGTTATTGTACTTGCAGCTCGAGTCTCTTAAACCAAAGCTCAGGAAGGCAGGCAGGAGCTCAGCAGGTTTTCCCTGTACCCCAGCTCTCCTCCAAAGCAGCATTTTGCCAACCTTTGATTATTTTAGACATCAGCTCACAGCCAAAGTGTGCTTTTACTTTACTTTTGTTTTCAGAGTACAGTAACAGGGCAGTTCAAGTTGGTCATGTACCTGAAATGTTTCTAAATGCACGTGTCCAAACCTTACTGGAGGGCAGATTGGTTCTGTCTGGGATGTCTGGCTTTAGTCCCTTGTGTTCACAAAGTTCCCTGCAAGTCGAGTGCTTTTTGCAACTTGATTTGCATTTCAGGCTCTGGGATATTGGTGTGTCCCTGACT